TCTTCTCCCTCTCATCCCTTTCTCTTTTCTCCCTCTCCTCCCTTTCCCTCTTCTCCCTCTCCTCCCTTTCTATCTTCTCCCTTTCCTCCCTTTCCCTCATCTCCCTTTCCTCCCTTTCTATCTTCTCCATTTCCTCCCTTTCCCTCTTCTCCCTTTCCTCCCTTTCTCTTTTCTCCCTCTCCTCTTTTTCCCTCTTCTCCCTCTCCTCCCTTTCTATCTTCTCCCTTTCCTCCCTTTCTCTCTTCTCCCTCTCATCCCTTTCTCTTTTCTCCCTCTCCTCCCTTTTCCTCTTCTCCCTCTCCTCCCTTTCTATCTTCTCCCTCTCATCCCTTTCTCTTTTCTCCCTCTCCTCCCTTTCCCTCTTCTCCCTCTCCTCCCTTTCTATCTTCTCCCTTTCCTCCCTTTCCCTCATCTCCCTTTCCTCCCTTTCTATCTTCTCCATTTCCTCCCTTTCCCTCTTCTCCCTTTCCTCCCTTTCCCTCTTTTTCCTTTCCTCCATTTTCCTCTTCTCCTTGTCTTCTTTTTCCATCCTTCCTTCCCTTGTTTGCGGAGTATCATTTTCTACAAAAAAAGCAACAGCAAAATGTTAGTCATAAACACAGGAATTTTTCTTATTATCTAAACATGGTTTTTTGATATTTCAATTTCAGTCATTACAGTTTTGCATAACAGTAATATCTGTACTACTCTTCTTTGGTGAATCACAGGAAAATGTGATCTGAGCAGATGTACCAAAACCATAAATGTATCAGATGTATCAAAGCCATACTTCAAATATTAACCTTCAATTAATGTTGACTCATCTCCTGTTGATGAAGGAGAGACAAGTCCTCCAAACTGAACCTGAAAAAAAAAAAAAAAGAAAAAAAGGGAGGGAAGCATATATTAAAAAATAAATAAGCAATATCTACAGTACTATGAGCAATGTCAAAGCATTGTAATGAATACTGTATATTACTTATTCATTTTTACACAAGTACTGATTTTTGAAATATGAATATCAAAAACCAAGTATTTAAGTCCTCGGTTCCAGATGTCTCAACACCTTACCCCT